TAGCTCATGTATCATTCACTACACTCTTCCGCACCAGATTCTGATTTCTTTTTTTTTCCCCGTTTGCGTTGGTTTTGCGCAACAAAAAAGGCCTGAAATAGTATTATTGGGCTTTTAAGGCCCAATATATCTAATTAGACCCAAAGGATCCACCCACTGACACACATGTTAGGGTTTTTTTGTATTGGGAATTTCTGATTCGATTTTGTGAATTTTGATTTCTAGGGTTCATGCGAGGTTTCGATCGGAGTGTCTAGAGCCATGGTAATACTGAAACTGGTGCTGCTTCTCGAGAAAATCTGCAATAATTGGTGAGAAAAAGTTTCGTTAGAGAAGAAAAAGGAGGAAAATTTCTATTTGTGTGTGTCCCCACGATTCGTCTGAGTAAAGATTCAGGGGGCAACGACAAAGTCTTTTTAATGATGTGATCAGAATCCTATCACTATCAATGGGTTTCACCGACAAATTCGACAGCTCATTGGTCGTGGTCGTAGAGACGCTCGAAGATTACTACATCTATGGATTTGGCATTTGAGAGATGTTGAGGAGGCATGTGATTGGATGCAGAGGAGGCTTAAATGAGAGGTCAATTTTACAGTTTAGCTGAATTTGATTCCAATTTTGAGGACTTGGGTCGAAGATTTTGTCATTTTACTCATCAGGGAAAGTTTTTCTTGTTAGATCTGAGGCAAATAATGGAGGAAGTGACCAAGCCATGAAAACAACTAGAGGTAAATAACTCAGAGACACCATTAATTGCAAGATTGAGTTGAGTCTCAATCAAAATGTTGAGGCATATAGTGACTTCAATTATCAGGGAAGAATTTAAAGATGATAAGACTCTTGTAGGGACAAAGATCCATCATTCAATTCATGTTCTGTCACTAAAATCAAGATTCTCTAGCTTACTTATACTCCTTCCCTTTCCCCTCCTTGCTATAAACCAATATGTAGCAAACATTGTTGTAAGAGATATATACATTTGTGGAGAGGAATCAATACACTTTTATTTTATTTGAATTTGGAATTATTTGTTTTGGTCCAAAGATGATGTGTCTGATCCACTTGGACTCTTTTAAATCTGTAAACCAAACCATTACCACACATAGAGACTCTCTTAGACGTTCTCTCTATCTTGTACTCTCCATGAAAATTACATAACTACCCTTCATTTCTCTAGCTTATCTCCTGTTCATTGCTCTTGGTGTTAAGGGGTAGTTTGTGGTTTTCTTCGTTTTGTGGAATTTGGATTCTCTCTTTTTCTGTTTGGTCGCAATTGTTCAGAGGAAGAAACTGTTTTGGTTGATCTTATTCTCTCTTTTATGAGAAGGACTTGAAATAGTTGTTCCATGGTGGATTTCTTGAGTGAGAAGATACCGCGAGCTAAGTGTTCGTAATATGTCAGCAAAGAAGAAAGATCTTTTTTCCTCAGCCATGAAGAGAACCAGTGAATGGTTCTTCATTCTCTTGTTTAGATTATTTTACATCTCAATCCAGTTTTGAAGTAAAAGTCTTTTCTCTTAAACAAAACATAAAAATCCAATCTTTTTCACATCATTTCAGGATTTCTTCTCAGGAAGTCTCTAGTGATGTCACCGTTCATATAGGAGAAGCTTCATTTTCACTGCATAAGGTAAATTCTAGATCTAAAGTTACTGATATCAATCTCTATGATCACATTCTTGACGATTCATTTTTCTCGCTCTGAATCTTGTAGTTTCCACTCTCGTCAAAATGTGGGTTTCTCAAGAAACTTGTGTTGGAATCAAACAAAGATTCAGATTCTACCGTTGTCAAAATCCCAGATATCCCGGGAGGCTCTGAAGCATTCGAGCTAGCGGCTAAGTTCTGCTATGGCATTAACTTCGATATGAGCACAGAGAACATTGCTATGCTGCGATGTGCAGCAGAGTATCTAGAGATGACAGAGGAACACTCTGTGGAGAATCTCGTCGTAAGAACCGAAGCTTACTTGAACGAAGTGGCTCTCAAGAGCTTATCGAGTTCGATCACAGTCTTGCACAAATCAGAGGAATTGTTGCCCATTGCTGAAAGAGTGAAACTTGTGAGCCGTTGCATCGATGCAATTGCTTATATGACTTGCCAAGAGAGCCAGTTTTGCAGCCCTTCTTCTTCGAGTAATAACAGTAACAATGAGGTTGTGGTTCAGAGCAAGCAACCTGTGGTTGATTGGTGGGCTGAAGATTTGACTGTTCTTAGGATTGATTCGTTTCAACGTGTTCTGATCGCGATGATGGCTAGAGGGTTTAAGCAGTATGGGCTTGGTCCAGTGCTTATGCTCTATGCTCAGAAATCTCTTCGAGGGTTGGTGAGTTTCCTGCAAACACGCATACTATATTTGGAAAATTTCGGTTTAATCGGTTTACAGAGTTAAATGTCGAATTAGAATCGAATTTTTGTTTTTTCTAATGCGAATGCAGGAGATTTTCGCCAAAGGAATGAAGAAGATTGAACCGAAACAAGAACACGAGAAAAGAGTGGTTCTTGAAACAATCGTAAGCCTTCTTCCTCGGGAGAAAAACGCAATGTCGGTTAGCTTTCTTTCGATGCTTCTACGCGCAGCAATATACCTCGAAACGACGGTTGCTTGTAGGCTTGACTTAGAGAAGAGAATGGGATTACAGTTAGGACAAGCTGTGCTCGACGATCTCTTGATTCCTTCGTATTCATTCACTGGAGATCACTCATTGTTTGATACCGACACTGTTCAACGCATTCTGATGAATTATCTCGAGTTTGAAGTCGAAGGAGTCCGGTTGAACAACAGTACTGTTGATCTTGCTGGTGATATGGAACGTGTTGGTAAACTGATGGAGAATTATTTGGCCGAGATTGCTTCTGATAGAAATGTAACTCTGCAGAAATTCATCGGTTTAGCTGAACTTATACCTGAACAGTCCAGAGTTACTGAAGATGGGATGTATCGAGCCGTAGACATCTACCTTAAGGTAATATTAAGCTAGTAAACATTTACATTCATTTACTCGAAATCTTGTGTTTAAGGAACTAATCAAGTTCCCATTGTCCAAAGATTTTGTAATGTTTTAGAGATCTTTGGTGAACAACTATGTTGTTTTCTTGCAGGCGCATCCGAATATGAGTGATGTAGAGAGGAAGAAAGTCTGCAGCTTAATGGATTGCCAAAAACTATCTCGAGAAGCCTGCGCTCATGCGGCTCAGAACGATCGTCTTCCTGTTCAGACCATTGTTCAAGTCCTTTACTACGAGCAACAACGTCTACGAGGCGAAGTCACTAACGATTCAGAGTCTCCAGCCCCACAAGCACCACCAGCAGCAACAACAGCTGTTCTTCCTCCTAAACTCAGCTCTTACAACGACGAACTCTCCAAGCTTAAACGCGAAAACCAGGACTTAAAACTCGAGCTTCTCAAAATGAAAATGAAGCTTAAAGAGTTTGAGAAAGAGAGTGATAAGAAATCATCAACAACAACCATGAGCAGCAATCCGAGCTCACCGATCTCAACTGCTTCCATGGATAAACCTCCATTGCCGAAAAAGTCATTCATAAACTCTGTTTCAAGAAAACTCGGAAAGCTAAACCCTTTTGGCATACCACCATATAACGCTAGAGGAAGAACCAAACCACCAAAAGATCGAAGACACTCTATTTCTTGAAAAAACCATTTATATGTATAATAAACACACAAGTATATGTTATATTTTTGTTGGAACTTCTAAGTTCTGATTCAAGGATTACATTTGTTTTTTTGGTGTTTTTGATGTTTGTTTGTACATAAAGCTTTCGAAAAATATTCCAAAATGGCATGAAAATAAGTCTTGCTTTCAAAAATACCAAAATATTACAAAGTTTAGGTCTACTATCTATAATTCATTTGTCTTCCTAAACCTAAAGCTTGTAGTTTTTTCCTGAAATGTTAAGATTTTGGTGGTAATGTAAAAAACAAAACATGAAAAGTGGTAAACATTATCTGAAGAACTTTATCTGTAAACATTATCTTTAGAACTTATCACACTTATGAGATGATAGATCATATAGATTCAGAGAACTTGGGAGTCTAAAGATGATAATGATCAGACAAGATCGTGGGGTCATGTAACAAAAATTACTAATAACTTTTTCATTTTTAGAAAATTATTTTGGAGATTATAAAAAAATATCAGAAGTTAAACAGAGGAGGAAGTAGTAGGTAATGCTTAAGCCTGAAGGGAACATGACAGCCGATAGTGCATGTTCTTGTCCCATAACTAATTCATCATTGGCCCCTTTTATAACTTCTCCTCTA